TTCTCTCTTCTCCCTCCCTCCCTTTCCCTACTACTTCCTTTTCTCTCCCCCTCCTTTTCCTTCCTTACTTTCCCTACTACTTCTCCTTCCTTCCTTTCCTCCTTCTACCCTTTTCCTACTAATTCTTTTTCTCTCTCCCTCTTTTTCCTCCCTCCCTCCCTTTACCCTTTCCCTACTTCCTTTTTTCTTCTCCTCTCCCTCCCTTTTTCCTTCCTTCCTTTCCTTCCTCTCTCCCTCCACCCTTTCCCTACTTCCTTCTCCTTCCTTCCCTCCCTCCTCTATCCTTTCCCTTCTATTTCCTCTCCTCTTCCTCCCTCTTTTTCTTTCCTTCCTTTCCTTCCTCTCTATCCTTTCCCTTCTATTTCCTCTCCTCTCCCCTTCCTCCCTCCAAGAAACTTTGAACAAAGAAGCAACTATCTGAGGGGGGGGGGGAAAGACCCCCCACCAGTCCTTAGTCAAATTTCAACAGGTCATGGAGAAGGTAGGAATAGAGCCAAGTCAATCCAGGGGGACCAAAAAAAAGAAGAAGAAGAATCTGGTAGCCACGCAAGCTTGTGCTTTTTAATAAAACGTGTTCCAGAAAAAGGTGCTGCAGTACCAGACTTAGGAAGAGTAGTACCAGACCTCGTTAGGAAACAAAACACTAGAACTTAAGAACAACCTTTGCAGAACTGGCACTGGTTGAAATCGGGTTGGGGAGAGGGTGAGGGGTCTGTTTTTTTCTCCCCGTTCCCAACACTGAAGATACTTACATGGATGTTCTGTATTTAATGTCGTCCTTTTCAGCCAGCTGCTCACAAGTGAGGTTCATGTGTTCTTTCCAGAGGCCTTGGCATTTTCGGCAGGTTTCCTGGAAAGGAAGGCAGGGACTTTAAGTAAGCAAGGGGGACCCACCAAATTCAGGTTAGCAGTCAGGGAAGCTATAAGTGAATCCTGCACCGAGCAAACGTTCTGGAGCACAGGCAGTCAGCTCCACATTACTGCACCTCTGTATGGTTTGTCCATTCTGTATATTATGTATATATTATGTATGTCCATTCTGACCTGGGGTGCTCCCATTGCAGCCCTGGTCAAAAGGGCCCAGCAGAGATTAGACTACCTGAGGCTTCTCAGGAAACAACAACTGAATGGAAAACTGCTGGTGACCTTCTACCGCTGCACCATAGAGAGTATCTTAACTTACTGCACCTCTGTCTGGTTTGCCAATTGCACAGGGACAGATAGGACAGCACTCCAGAGGGTTAACCGTCATTGCCCAGAGGATCATGGGTTGCCCTCTCCCCTCTTTGGAAGAGCTTCATAGCTCCCGCTGCCTTAAGAAAGTTCAAAACATCCTCAAAGATCCATCTCATCCTGGGCACCCCCTTTTTTTAAACTATTACCATCTGGCTGACGGTACAAGATAATAAAAACAAGGACAAAATAGGCTGAAAAACAGCTTCTATCCCAGGGCAGTAGCTCTGTTGAATTCTACTGTATAGTGCAATATTCATGCAATATCAGGGGTTTTCAATTCAATGTATAGAATGCGAAGGGTGTGTGTTTGTGTTTTATTTTCGCAGTCATAATGTACACTGAAGATGGTATTTAATTTCGTTGTGCGAAGTGCAATTACAATGAAGTAAATTAAGCTAAACATATAACTGTTCATTTAATGACCATACAAAGTTCTTCTCCATGCAAACCTCTCTCCGAAATCTGAAGAGTATCTTTCATCCCAAATCTTCTTGGTATTGTGATTTTTAAACAAAATACGGCCCTTTTCCCCCCCCCTCTCTCTCCAGCTTTGCTTTCGGTCAACCCCTCCAATGTACGGCTTTGCCCACCAGAGACCACAAGTCATCTATGCATTTTGACCTACTGCATAGGAGGATCCTGGAAGAGAGATCGCTGGTGTCGCTCTGTGAAGAGAAATATTTCCAGAAGAACTTCAGGAGAACCTCTTCCTTACACCTAACGAAAAGGGCTACCCAAAGGATGAATTCATCCAGCAGCTAATATTGCCACCTTGTGGCTTGGAGAAACCCCAGGCAGGATGCTGGACTTCATCCCACCCGTGTAGGGTCATAAAGGGATGGAGTAGGTTTTTAACAGCTGCAGCGTGGAGGAAGAAGTTTGCCAAGTCAACTTTAATTGCTTTTGGGAAAGTATAAATGTTGACATGAAGACCAAAGCTGCTCTGAGGCTGGATGGTTTCCATCAGCAAACGATCCAGATGGATTAGCTACAACGCTCTCCTCGCAAAGCATTCAAGGATTACTTCAGTAGACCACGAAGCTCCGTGCCACGGAAAGAGATGAGGGTGTTCACTGAACCCAAAGCTTCTGTCTGTTTGTCTGTCTGTCTAACCAACAATCAAGTAAGCAACACCCCAATCAAGAAACTGCCAAAGAGCCATCAGTAAGCAGCCCAACCAAAAGAATCTCTAAGACTGCCCACCCCCCCGCCCCACCAACACAGGCAAGATACCAGAATATAAACTGAGAACAAACGGCATTTGTTATTAGCACTGATGACGTTACCTAGTTGGGTCATGAAATGTCTACAAGAAAACAAGAGAACACCAAGGACCCATCCATCCATCCATTGTACCTACTGTATCTACTTACCTATCTACCTACATTATCTATCTAATCAATCTATCTATCAATCTATCTATCTGTATCCATCCATTATTTATTACATACCTATCTATCTATCTATCTATCTATCTATCTATCTATCTATCTATCTATCTATCTATCTATCTATC